GGAGAGGGAGAGGGAGAGGGAGAGGGAGAGGGAGAGGGAGAAGGAGAAGAAGAAGAATATTTTAAAGGAGTAATACCACAGGGTGGTAGTGCATACCAGTAATTCCAACATTTGGGAGACTAAGGCAGGTCCAATCCAGCGCATTCGTCCTGCATCTACAGCACCATCTGGTCCTCTAAGCCGTTGGCGGAGGTAAGGCGGAGGCAACACATGATTCCAAACTCGTGCTGCGGTGGTTGAGTTCCAATTCCATTGTGCGGGCGAGTCAGAGGCTCCTGGGGACTGCGGGCAATGCCCGTCCTGGTCAGTGGTGTGCTCATTACTGTCTTCCGCCCTGGGTCTAGGACTTGAAAACTGGGATTAATTCCTCTCCGAGAGGAGGTAGAAAGTGGCTACCAGACCCCTGGGCTGGGAGGGCTGGAGGGGCCAAATTTATCCTCAGAGCGGCAACCTGCCAGAGCCGATTCAGGTGGATCTATTTTGAGGAGTTTCTCTTGGCCACTGTGAGGTCGTTTCTCTCACTACGCTGTCGTAATTGTGGCATAACATCAAGCTGGGTTTAGGACAAGTTTGAATTTAAAGGACTGTCAGCCTCTTACATTTTTGAAGTGGTGAAGTCAGATCTAGCACCATCAGCTCTCCTACAGTGCCTATTTAAGGATCCTGATACCCCTGGTGGTGAAAGATGGCAGTGAATGTTTAGTCTGATGACCGAAGTGAGCAAATTTCCACATTGGTACAGAAAATAGGAGAACACCAGGATAAAGCAGTAATAAAACACTAAGGCCAGCCACTTGTGACCCAGGTTATCCAAAATGAACAAAGGAAACTAAATGCCCAAAATTCTTTAGAACCGCAAGCTTAGGCTCTAGTTTTCTCCAAAATAATTACATCACAGTCACTGAGAAGATTTTAAAAACCTGAAGAAACCAGCTGCAGTTTGAAATATCTCTGGCTATGTTTTGGATAGTTACTAGGTAACTTGTTTCATCTGTCACTAAGGGGCACAAATTTATCCAAAAAGTGTGTTCTAATATATACTATTTCTCAGTGGGTAAGACTGGACATCTCACTACAATTATGGCTTTCCCTAACTACAGCTGTCTCAACCAAGCTCAACTAACCTTTGAATATCTGCACACAAATTCCACCACTCACGAATTTTTGTTTGGTGCTCTTGCTGAACTAGTTGATAATGCGAGAGATGCTGATGCCACCAGAATGGATATTTATACAGAGAGGAGAGAGAACATTCGAGGAGGATTCATGCTTTGCTTTCTTGATGATGGAGCAGGAATGGATCCAAATGATGCCATCAGTGTGATCCAGTTTGGGAAGTCAGCCAAACGAACACCTGAGGCCACCCAGATTGGGCGGTATGGGAATGGGCTAAAATCAGGCTCGATGCGCATCGGGAAGGATTTTATTCTCTTCACCAAGAAAAAAGATACCATGAGCTGCCTCTTCCTGTCACGAACCTTTCATGAGGAAGAAGGCATTGATGAAGTGATAGTCCCATTGCCTACATGGAATGCTCAGACACAAGAACCTGTCATAGAAAATGCCGAGAAATTTGCCATTGAGACGGAACTCATCTACAAGTATTCTCCCTTCCACACTGAAGAGGAAGTGATGAGTCAGTTTATGAAGATTTCTGGGGATAGTGGAACCCTAGTGATCATTTTTAATCTCAAACTCATGGACAATGGAAAGCCTGAATTAGACATAATCTCAAATCCAAAAGATATCCAGATAGCAGAGCTCTCCCCAGAGGGCCTGAAGCCAGAGCGGTACTCATTCAGTGCCTATGCTGCAGTGCTCTATATTGATCCTCGAATGAGAATCTTCATCCATGGGCACAAGGTACAGACCAAGAGGCTCTCCTGCTGCCTGTACAAGCCCAGGATGTACACATACACATCAAACCGTTTCAAGACCCGAGCAGAACAGGAGGTGAAGAAAGCAGACCAGGTAGCACGGATTGCTGAAGAGAAGGCCCGGGAGGCAGAGAGCCAAGCTCGGACATTAGAAATTCGTATAGGTGGAGTCCTCACACGGGACTCCAGGGTGATGTTGCGTCAGGTCCAGAACACAGCCATCACCCTGCGCAGAGAAGCTGATGTTAAGAAAAGGGTCAAGGATGCCAAGCAGCAAGCACTCAAAGAACCTAAGGAACTGAATTTTATCTTTGGGGTCAACATTGAACACCGAGACTTAGATGGCATGTTTATCTACAACTGTAGCCGCCTGATCAAGATGTATGAAAAAGTTGGCCCACAGCTGGAAGTGGGCATGGTGTGTGGTGGAGTTGTTGGTGTTGTTGATGTACCTTACCTGGTCTTGGAGCCTACTCACAATAAACAGGACTTTGCTAATGCCAAGGAATACCGGTTCCTGCTTCGGGCAATGGGGGAGCACCTGGCACAGTACTGGAAGGACATCTCCATTGCCCAGCATGAAATTATCAAGTTCTGGGATGAGTTTGGTTACCTCTCTGCCAACTGGAACCAACCCCCATCTGGTGAGCTGCACTTCAAACGCAGGAGGGCTATGCAGGTCCCAACCACTATCCAGTGTGATTTGTGTCTGAAGTGGAGGACCCTCCCCTTCCAGATGAGTTCAGTAGAAGAAGGTTACCCCAACACCTGGGTTTGCTCCATGAACCCTGATCCTGAGCAGGACCAGTGTGAGGCTTCTGAACAGAAGCAGAAGATTCCACTGGGAACATTAAAAAAGGTCCTGAAGACACAGGAAGAGAAGCAGAGGCAGCTAACACAGAAAATTAAGCAACAGCAGAAGAGACTGAAGGCCCTTCAGAAAACCACACTCACCCACTCCCAAGATGGCCTGAAGAAACTGCCATTGGAAGTGACCACTAAACCTCTCACTGAAGAATCTGTGCAGAGAAGATGCTGGTGTGCTCAGTCACCCCCTTTACATGAAGTGATCAAAAATGCTCAGAGCAGACCCCGTTCCAAGCCAGCCCCCAGACCATTTAGACAGCTCCGAAAGGCTGCTGTTAGCAGCAGCTACCAAAAACCTCCTGTTCTGGTGGCCCAGACAGAGACCAGTACCTTTGGGTTGCTCGAACCACCAGAGGTACCCCAAAAGCCTGTGACCCCTCTGGTTAGGACTGCACCACAGCCTTTGGTGCAATCCCTGTCACCCTCTGCAATCCCCAACTCCAAGAAACTTTGCAAGGTCCATACCCCCAAACCTACAAAGACTTCAGTGGTCAAGAAGGCAGAAACACCTGTTAAGCACTCCCCAGGGACGTCTAGTCAGAAGCGGAGTCTTGTAGTCTCTGATGATAAAGAGGCTGGGGAAAAGGAGAGGTGCAAGAGGGGCAAGTTTCCTGTGAAGGAGAAAAAGATGTTAGCGAATGAGCTCTCAGACAGTGCTGGGGAAGAAGATCCAGATGACCTCAAGAGGGCTCAGAAAGATAAAGGGCTACAAGTGGAGGTCCGTGTGAAAGGGAATTTTTACAAGGGCTGTGTCACAGCTGTGGAAGTGGGTGGGAATGTGGTGTGGTGGAAGGTGAAGTTTGATGATGTGGCCACAGACACCATACCGAAAGGCTGCTGGGTGGAAAAAGGCAGTGGAGATGTATGGCTGATGAAGCCATCTTCAGAGAATCAGAGAACTGGCACACAGCAAGAGGATGGGGAAGAGGAGGCCACGGTAGTCCAGCACACTGATGCATTACAAGAGCTCTCTATCTCTGACTGTCTCTGCACAGAGCCTGAGACTATTGCCCCAAGGACTGACCAGGAGACCACTGACCTCCTGGTCCAGATTCTCTGGAATTGTTTACACTATTTCATGCCCCTGAGTTTCTCCATGTCTAAGAAGGAGCTGAGTGCTATGAATTCAAAAGAACTACTGTCTCTTCCTCTTGAAGAGTACTTCAAGCAGTATGAAGAAGAGCTCCAGAATCTCTGCCGTTCCTACCAGACCTGTGCTGACTCACGGGCTAAGGCATCTGAAGAAAGCCTGTGCATTGCTGAGAAAAAGCTCCATGAGACAGAACAGAAGCTACAGAAGCTGAGGACTAACACTCTGGCCCTCCTGAGAAAGGTGCAGGAGGACATAAACATCAGTACAGATGATGAGCTGGATGCCTACATGGAGAACCTCATCACCACAGGGGACTGAGGGGCTGAGAGGCAGATCAGCTCCCCTGACTACCTACCCCTCAACATGGCAGCTTCTGGGAGGGAGGTTTCACTAGGGAGCTTGATTCATGTGGGGCATTTGTGTTTTGGGAGGGAAAGAGACCCTGATTCTTTGAATCTTCCTCCCTGAGTTCATAAATACTTATTTTTTAAAGATTTATTTTGCTTTGTATTTTATGTGTCTCTGTGTTTGTGTGTGTATGCATGTGAGTGCAGTGTCCTCAGAGGCTAAAAGGCAGTGTTCGATCCCCAGGAGCTAGAGTTGCAGACAGTTGTGAGCTGGGCTTTGTGGGTACTGAGAACCAAACTCAAGTCTTCTGAAAGTGCTCTTAACTGCTGAGTCATCTCTCCAGCCCCCAAATATTTATTTGGTAAAAGAGAAAATGTAGACCAGGCATGGTGGCACACACCTTTAATACCAGCACTTGGGAGGCAGAGGCAGGTGGATCTCTGTGAGATCAAGGCCAGCCTGGTCTACATACTGAGTTCCAGGCAGGCCAGCTGGGGCTACAAGGAGAACCTATT